ATATATATGGTGTTTTAAACCCTTCCCACACTCTTGCAATATTCTAAACAATGTTTCTAAACGCTCTAAAAGAGCACAAAATGTCATGATTTCAGCTCCATGCCTCATCTGCTCTTTGCCACCTGCAAGCGCTCTTGGCCACGCCCACTTCTCTGCTCTGCACGGTGAACAGCTGATCATGCTCAGAGAACAGCTGATCAGCTGCAGCAGGAAGCTTATCCTGCAGTTTGGGCTCCACAAATGTGCAGCAGGTGCTAAATGATTTTGAATATTTTATTTCAAATGAAAAAATGTCATGCCGATCGTGCGGCTCATCCATCAATCAGCCAATTGTGTGTCGTGTTCATTCTTTTCTTGAAAAACTGCAATAGAGCGAGTTCACGATAAATGAACCGTGAAGTAGCGAAGGACTACTGTATATAACAAGATGTGCAGAACTCCTAAAATATGGTGTTAATAATAAAAATCAACTATATTAAATGAAAATATGACAGTAATCCATTACTTTTAGCCCCAGGATTATCCATCTCTCACCTTTGTCCTGTACCAGATTTCAGTTTCTGCCCGGCTATGAGCAGCGATGTCCTCGTATTGAGCCCACACATTGGACACAATCTGATCCATGTTCAAGTCACGGGAGTTGTCCATCTCCACCACCACAGAGACGCCCTTCACGCTGTCCTTCAGCTCCTTCAGCTCCTTTTATCAAACAACACATGCAGCACAAGAGAGGAAAACCCAGAACATAGCAGGATAAATTTAGAAACATTGTCTTTTACTTTTTTCCTAAATAATTTAGAAAAATGGGATAATATACCTCATCATAAACTATCTTGTAGAAGTAAAGTTCTTCTTTCAGTGAAGAAATCGTGGCCTCGTTGTTTGCGGTAGCGAGAAGCCCTGCATCCACATCCTGGAGTCCGAGAGGAAAAATCAAACCACTTTTAATCCCTGCAGCTAAAACAGTTTTCAATACAACTCACTCATTCATTCATTCATTCATTCTTCATTTAGACAGGTTAATCTCATTGAGCCTCAGGGACTCATTTACAAGAGAGTCTTGATTTCTTTAACAAAGAGTGATGACAACAACAACAACAATAGAAAGTCATAAAAGAGGCATACAAACTTTTTATTTTATTTATTTTTTACAAATTAATATAAAATGGCAACCATAAGGACAGTCATAGGGAAAAGTAGTGAGAAAAAAAACCCAACTAGATTATAAGGCGGTGTAGAAAACTAAAAACTGGAACATATAATGAAGATTACTCAGTTACACGGAACAGCCTGTGAAGTTGAAAATGAAACAAGAACGTTAATGAGTTGCGTTTTTTTTTTTATAGGTGTGTGGAGTTTACCTTTTTTAACTTGACATACTCATTTTCTGCATCATTCCTTCTTGTGGTTTCGTCTCCCAACCTGAAATGCCATAAATGTGCCATGATGCATGCAGACCTTGAACTTGTCAGTGGGTTTTTACTCACTAAACACAGTGAAATGGACTCCAGTGCAAAGACAAAAGAAGATATCTCACTTGTTAGTGAAGTCATCCACTTGTTGGTGTATGGCTTTGCTCTCCGTGTCAAGTTTGAGCCTGTTATTGTTGAGCAGGTCCAGGTGTCTCTGCAGGCTGCCGATGTATTCTTTGTACAAAGGCTCGACTTCAGATGGATTAGTAGTATTCCCCTGCAGCAGACTCCACTTGGTTTCCAGCAATTTGTTCTGCTGCTCCAGAAGCCGGACCTGGAACAGAAGCAGCAAGAACTGATCCTAACATCTGCAGGGACCTCTGACCCCTGAACTTTAAACATCTGCATAAAAGGCTTCGTCTTGGATGATTTGAATAAAGTGATTTAAGTGCAACGTTTAAAAAACAAGAAAGTGATGTTTCTTCTCACCTTCTCAATGTATGAGACAAAGCGATTGTTGAGGCTCTTGATCTGTTCTTTCTCCTGGGTGCGAAGAACTTGTACGGCGGGGTCGACTTCTAGGTTCAGAGGGTCGAGCAGGCTCTTGTTGAAGGTCACTGGGGTCACATGGTCAGTGGTGCTGATTTTAGGACTGGATCCCATAGATCTGTTGCTGAAGCCTCCTGCAGAGTAAAGCCTGGGGTGGCCGGTGAGCTTCTTCCTCTGATTCATGATGCTGCCGTTCAGATGGTAGAGCTCCGTAGTGCATTTTTTACATTTTGACGGCTTTATAAGGCAGATAGATGTGGGTGTGGTGAGATTGTGAATGTGGATTAACCAGTCTGACAGATGCGTGCCACCTTTTCCCACCTACCCCAGCTGAAAATATGTGTCCTTTCTGTTGTTTCACTGGAAAATAATCTTGCACTACGGCTCTGAGTGTGCAGCTTGTTGTGTATTACAAGCGTTTCTACTGATGAGACTTGGGCGTACAAAGAAATCAAAAGATAAGTTAGCAGTGCGATTCAAGAAAGGGACACATGTTTCACAGGAGCAGAGATCACTTGTCCTAAATGTCATGTAGCAAATATTAGTTATCAAGTGAATGTTTATGGTTTTCATTAAACAAGTTTTACAAATCTATTTAAAAAGTAAATAATCGATTTACTTAAATTGTAGAAAGCCTCAATGTCACCTGAGTCCTCTGTCTTGGCTCTTGACTTATCAGTTTCATCAAACGCTTGTCAGCTTTCATCCACACCTTCAGATTGTGACAGTTCAAGACAAAGATAAGATGGGAGCCACTACAAGTATTTCGACACCACCCTGCACCACCCAACAGGCACGGAAAAGAAAAAAACATTTAAATACACATACTCTTTTATACACATGACGTGTATCAAAAAACAAAATGCATCACTGTGGTCTTCACTTCAGACTAGTTTGACATCCTGTACCTTTAGACCAGAAAGGGGTTCTAAGTTATTTAAAATGATACTGTGGGAATCCTAGTTGTTCTGCCATAACCATTTTCTCCACAGCTGACAATCATCCCAATCATCCACTCAGTCACACCTGCACCTGATTTCTGATGACTTCTCCAGCACTACTTCAACCCCTACCAGACCCATGTTGGAACATTGCATTGCTGTTGGTAATTAAGTGACAGATGAAAACCAATTCCTTGAGAAACTTGACTAACCTTTAGATATTTTCCTGCATCTCCAAGCTCTGCTCCTCGTCTCCTTGACTACCTCCTTGTGACCTCGCCTGCACATCATCCTGATCTTCACAAACAACAAGACTCAGCCTGGACACAACACTGGACACCACAAACCAATCACCCTCTACAGCATTACTCACCTTTCTGGATTCCATCTTCATCGCCCTCAGCAAAAACAGGACCTCATACCTCCTCCCCTTTTCAACACAACCTGCAAACAACAGTAAGAACATCGACAAACATTTAGCTCCAACCAAGATACCGGAAACACCAGACTCATCTTGTTCCCATGCTTCCTCCCACGGTCAGAAAATATCTCCAAGCACTGAAAATAAGCACTTTTGTATTCTGAGTCTGTGTCTCATCAGTCTGCCAACTTGGGGTCATTAAACAAATATTCATAGAGCTGTATCAGTCAAATTCAGTTAGACTTTTTCCAGTTTAAGAAAACGTAGGAGCTTTCTAATCCAGCTAGCATACAGTATGTAGGTGGCGCTGCAGATTTCCAATAGAGGTATAAGACTCCTGGTCAGTAGAGCGCTGAATGCTATCAAGTTGGAGGTGGGGTCTCCAGGTACATTAGACAATGCAAGAAAAATTCAAACCAGAACTTTCTTCTTGGAGGAACTAAAGCATGTGTTAGTAATTTGCTGTGGCCTCATGGCTCCACTCACACAGAGAGGACTGTAATAGAAATATAAAATATATGAACACTAGTTATATTTATCTTTTTTCCTCACTAGTTTAAACTCTTTTTCACCTGGTTCCTTTGTGTGCAAAGTGAAGATGGTTGATTTATTCTTTGTGCCTGAAGAGTTTTCCTCATTAGCAAGTTTGGATCCTTCTGCTTCCTGATAAGAGCCTGGGAAGACGAGGACCTCTGACTCTCCTGTCTGGCTTTGTCTAATTACAACAGGTGTTTTGTCTTCTGGAGGAAACACATTTCCTGATTCCTTATTGTGCTGTCAAATGTATAAAGGACGAATGTAACTTCATATCAGGGCTCTCTCTTTTGCCTAACAAGCAGAGTCTTTGAACGCCATCTTTCCTTTGACTAATAAAAAACTTGGACACAGATCGATCTCGTCTTTGTTTGAGTTACAGTTTACTTCTCACTGTTCGTTAAAAATCCACTACAGGACATTGTGTAAAATATATTTGAGCCTGGCTTTCAAGAGCCAAGCTCAGACTGAAGATATCCATATCCTCTTTAAAACCTTCCCCCAAACATCATCCGTCCAAATCTGTCAAGTCTGTCTCCCATACAGTTTTTAATACTAGTTTACAATGCTATACCAAAACTCCGAATTTAAAAAGGTTTGAAGGGTTTGATGCTGCAGCCAGAGTCCTTTTTATTACAAATTATTGACAAAGCTTCAAACTCCAGGCAGGGAACACATGAACTGCACTGGTGGTTATGGGGTTCTGTTGTTAAACCAGGGTTTTTAGGGTTAATTTAACGAGGCATTTTGCACAGTTTGACTCCTTTTTCTTACAAAAAAACACGCATCATTTGACACTTCATTAAAACTGAGATAATTTTACTAAGAAGATGCAAAAAAACAATGTAATTTGAAAATATTGTGAAAGCAAAACATGTACTGTAATTAGAAAAGGAATATAGGCAGAAATTTACTCACGCACATAAGTAGTTTCATCTGTCCATGATAAACTTGGAAAAAAAAAATCATATTAAACAGCTTTATAAAAAATATTAAACAGCTGCGTCTTGGAAAATACTGAAGCACTTCCTGGTTCCTAGTACGTTAAGGCACACCTGAATGCTCCAGGAAATCAAACTGACAAATTTCAAGGGGTGCTCACAATGGGTTCATCAATATATTTGATCAGCAGCTGCTGTGTGATGTTTAGTTTCTTATTTTCAGTGAAAACAATGTGGGTGGGCTTCGTTTTTATTTACTTTCTGCTTTTTGGCTCGGTTTTGATAAAAAATAACCCAAAAAACAAGTATAATTCATGTGTTCATGTTCATTTACTGGTGTGATTTACAAGTTTTTAAGAATCGGGTCATTTCTTTCGCTCTTATGTGTAAAACTTTAACAGTGGCAGAGAGTTAACTTCTTTTAACCTTTACTTTATAACCAAAACTGAGGCCTTAAACAGTCTAATCACACGCAGGTGTAAACAAAAGAACAGGTCCGACTACTTGATGTCAAAATGCTTTATTTTCAAACTGTTTTGTCGTGAAGATGATTAACAAGATGTACAGCTCCCTTTAAAAAAAAAAAAACACTGACACTTTCACACAACCAGGCACAGATTATAAAAGTTTATCGTATTTGTGTGACACGGAAGTGAAGCAAAACACCTACATGTTACCAAAGGTAAGTATCTGGAAAACTTTTACTTTTCTTTTACCTTTAACAAGAATGTGATGCAGAATATCCTCTTTTCTCTTGTCAGGTATGAAGGTGGCTGCATTCAACGTGCAGAGGTTTGGATTGATAAAGGTCTTAGATCCACATGTCCTCTTGACTCTCGCTGAGATAAAACTTTTCTTCCTGCCGTCACTGAAAAGCAGGACTGAGCTGATTTCAGCAGCTCTGGAAAAACACGTGTCAGTGAAAAGTTAAAACCTTTTTGTTTCTCTTCAAGAATTATGAATCTTGAAGCCTTTTGCTTTTTTACAGATTGTGTTTCAATATGACATCATAGTTATACTGGAAGTGGTGGATGTAAGTCCATCAAACTGCTCTTGATAGAACTCAATAAGTGTTTTTTTTATTTTTTAATGTATTTATTAATTTATTTTTTAATTTCTGTATAAATCTAAAATATCTAGCTGCCTTTTATGTTACAATCATAACCCGCTCAATGTGAGAACGTCTCAGGTTCAACACATCCCATCTCTACGGTCTACAGCTCAGCTCCCGCCTGCAAAGTGACAGGATCTGATGGTTTAGAGTTGAACCCACATGAAGGCAGACACAGGAGACCCCAAAGGTAAAATGAAAACGATCTATTTATTTAAACCAAAAACAAACAAAAAGCTGTTGGGGCAGCAAAACTTACATGAAGGAGGGCGACGACGGGGGAACAGAACAGAACATGACAGACCTGGAAGCACAATCCACAGACAAAGGAGAAACACAGACACCGACTTTATAGGGAGGTTGACAAGACACAATGATGAGCACCTGGAGTGATTAGGACTGAGGACAGAAGCTGACAACAAGGAAGAGAAACACTAGGGAGAGCAGTAAAACACAAGATCTAAACAGAACAAAATACAGATTCCCACAGGAAGGAACCGATGCCAGGCGCAGTTCATATGTCTGTACAGGTGACTCGCACCATCAGGCTGTAATATAGTTCAGGTGTACAAACAGCAACAAGCTGTTTAAAAAACTGCTTTTCTGTCCAAATATTAGGGACAATGTGGTTGATTCCCACCAATATGAGGACAATCAGGTGAATGACACACATTTGCAAGAAAACCTTAATTCTCTAATTCAGTCCCTGCTCCATGTTCATGTTTTAGTAACAACAGGGAGGACTGTGGACTGTGTGTGTTGCATGTGTCTGTGGCGTGTCTGAGTCCAAAACATTTGTTTTACAATCAGTTTGACATGTCAAAGAGTCCACAGCAGATTTGTCAGCTTCGCTCAGTCGTCGTCTTGTGTCTTAGTGCATGTTCTCCCACACGTGCTCCCATCATGCAATGATCCCAGACGGTTTTAGAAGCTGTACGACTGCTGAAGGATCTATTCTGTTCAATTCAATTCATTTATTTAGTGCCAAGTCACAACAGAAGTCATCTCAGGGTACTGAACAGAAATACTCACTTGTTATAAATGCTAATTTGTTAAGAATTAGTAAAGTGATGTATCTAAGGAAGCCAGCAGATTGCATTAAGTCTTCATTTAGTTGCAGTCTCCCCTCCTGAGCTAGCACAAAGGCAGCAGTGGAAAGGATAAACTCCCTCATATCAGGAAGAAAATTCAGGACTCTCCTCCTCAGGACAAGTGACCATCTGCTTCGACTGGATCTGGTGTTGATCCCAGTCCTCATCACGCCGTACCATTTAGAGGGAACTGGATAAGCTGTACAACGTT